ACCGAGAAGGGTGCCAGTTTTATTTGTTTTGTTCCCTTAGGTTTTTGCTTAGTTTTCAATTCCAAGCCTTTGGTTTCTTTGTTTTTTTGTTTTTCCTTAGGTTTTTTTGTTCTTTACTGCAACACACCTGTTATTTCCTTGGGTTTTCTTTTGTTTTTCCTTGCCGCTGTGGGAGGATGGAGGAGGGGAAGGGGGGATGAAGGCGGATGGGGAGGGAGGGGAAATGAAGAGGAGGAGGAAGAGGAGGAGGAGGAGGAGCGGAGGAGGAAGGGAGGAGGAGGAGGAGGAGGAGGAGGAGGAGAGGAAGGAGGAAGGAGAGAAGGGGGAGGAGGAGGAGGAGGGGAGGAGGAGGAGGGAGGAAGGATGAGAGGAGGAGGAGGGAGGAGGAGAGAGGAGGTGGAGGCGGAGGAGGAGGAGGAGGAGGAGGAGAGGAGGAGGAGGAGGGAGGAGGGAGGAGGAGGAGGAGGAGGAGGAGGATAGCAGAGGTAGCAGAGGTTTCACTGGTTCACGCCCCGGGGCCGATTTCTGCCGCCGCTACCTCGTTATGGTCACTCGCCAGCGTGTCGCAGCACTCGCGCGCTTCCCCGAAACTACCACAGGTTGGCGCTATCTTCATGTCCCATTGTCTTTTATCCGTGATTGTATGATCCTTGGCACGCGTGCCTCATGTTTCCATCACCTCTTTTTGGGGCGAGTGATGCTGGAGTCGTCATGGTATTCGTCTCGGGAACGCTAACCGCAAACGCCATTCACAGTTTCTGACGAGGGACGCATGAAGGAGGAAGAGGAGGAGGAGGGGAGGAGAAGTGGGGAGGAGGCGACGTATCGAGTTGGTGCTCTGTGCGTTCGTTCTCCTTACTTCACTTCTTCCTCCCTCCTTTATCCAAGTGGGCGGACGGAGGAGAGAGAGAGAGAGAGAGAGACAGCAGGAAGGACGCAGGAGTCAGGAGAAAAGAGCGAGAATAGAGAGACAGCGGGCGGAATGGAGGAGCCAGAGGAATGAAGAAGTAGAGAGGAGAGGGGGCGGGACAGAGCTTCGGTGGGGCGAGTAGGGAGGAGTTCTAATAGTACCTCAAACGGGTCGAGGCACTTGCAAGGCAGACGTGGCGATACGCATCCACTGTGTCCAGACGTTAACACCTGTTGCGCTATAACCCAAGCGCGCGAAGCGCGCGTGCGACGTAGCTGCCTTCCTTTCCCCCTCCTCCTCTTCTTCCTCCTCCTCCTCTTTCTCCTCCTTCTCCTCCTGCTTCTGCTCCTCCTCCTCCTCGTCCTCCTCCTCCTCCTCCTCCTTTAGACTTGCTGAGCCTAGGGTCCTGGTTCAGCACTTGCTGTGTTTCACCTGCTTCTGGTCGCATGTCTTTTTTGCGACGTGGTTGCGGAGACGTCTCAAGGGCTTTCTGGACCCTTCCTCCCTCCTTCCCTGTCTCTGCCCTCCTTCCGCCTGCTCCGCCTCCTCATGGCCTCCCTCAGCGCATTGCGCGGGCGCGCCCGCCTAACGGCCAACAGACCCGGCCTTTGCCCTCCGTGACGGGACCAGGGCTCAGTCGGGGGCGGAAAAGAGGGGGGTGATGACTAGGGGGGGGGGTGGATATCATGGCGTGGGCCATGAGATCTCCCCAGATTTCATGGCGCATCTTCTTATTTCGTTACGCCCCTGCCCCCCCGCTGGGCCGTGCACATGCCGCCGGTCATGATTTGCACCCCCCCTTCTTGGACACCCCCTCTTGGCCGCTCCCGACTTCCGTGACGAGACCAGGACTCAGGGTGCCTCTTCCGGGGTCCTGGGTGGCCACCGTAATGCTCCAGGAAGGCTCCAACAGAGCCTCGAGTCGCTTCAAGATCGCCCCTGGACGCCCAAGATGGCTTCAATACGGTCCAAGATGCCCGCAGGACACACCCAGCAAAAAACCTTGAGCACTCCCCCGATGGCCCCAAGAGGCAAAAGTCGAACCAATCCAGGAGTAAGACGAACATGTGCGTCTGCCATGATTCCAACCGCCCGCGCCGCTGTGGACATTGTTCCTGCTGGTTTCTCGAGGCCTCCTAGCCCTTTGTGCGTACGCGGGAGGAGTAGGCGCGTAAGTCTTCTTCACCAGCCCCTTAGTCCTGCTGATCCAGCTCGCTATCAAGACTATTGCACTGTCGTCCGTACACGCCATTGCGATGTGGGACTAAATGAACTTCCATCTCGAAGTTGCGATCATGACAGGTTGTTCGTCAACGCCACGGTTTTGATCGTTGTGCTGATTGCGTGTGTCGCGACCCTTGTGGCCACAGGCGTCCTGGTCTCTCTCCAAGGGCCGGTCCCGCAGAGCGACGCCCTGGACGAAGAGCTCCAGACGTTTCCTCTTGAGGAGGAGGTCTAGGTGGATGAGGAGGAGGAGAAAGAGGAGGAGGAGGAAGAGGAGGAGGAGGGGGAGGAGGAGGAGGAGGAGGAGGAGGAGAAGGAGGAGGAGGAGGAGGACGAGGAGGACGCTCCAGCCCGTGCAGAGCCTGCACCGCTGACCAATAAGCTCACAAGAGGACGTCCGTAGCCATTTTGGCTCAAGGCTGCAACCGGCGACCATCTGGGTTGCCTGGGCCGCGTGCGGGGTGCCATGGGGCGCGTGGCGACAGCCCATGGTGGCGAGGGAGGTGACGAGACGTTCGCACGGACTAGGACGAACATGGCTGGCAAGGCGACTCTCCACAACGGGCAGCTTCGCGAGAACCCCCACGCGCACCATTTCTACATCGACGGCAAGATCTACGACTTTGCGGAGTGGAGGTGCATCCACCCAGGTGGCGACATGTTTTTTTCCGCGGCTTTTCAGCGCGACATCTCGGCGGCTGTGCATGCCTACCACGCCAACCCAGAGGCATTGAATCCAATCTTGGCGAAGTACGAGGTCGAGTTGCCCGACAAGGAACCGCACGATTTCCTCGCGTCTTACATGAACGTGCCACAATTCATTCTCCCCCCCGACTTCGACGCCGTGCGCGATGTTCCGCAGTACGATTGGGACAAGAAGTTCATGAGCGTGCTCAGGAGCAAGCTTCGAAAGCCAGAGCTACAGAGAAAGATCAAGAGGGCCGACTTCGCCTTCGATGTGGTGGCTACCGGCATCATTATGTTGCACTATTTCCTCTGTTTCCCGGCAATGTATTTCGGCCTGGTGCCTTGCTGGGTGTTCATCATGGGACAGGTGCTGACCCGGACTGCTTTAGCAGCAGTAGGTCATTATCATTGCCACAGGCGCAAGGACGGCGTCCATGATTGGGCTGATTGCTTCTTCGATGTCCAGTACGTGGGTGCTTCGGAGGTGCTCTTCGACGGCCATGTCATGCTCCACCACCTCTACACAGAGACGCCCGCGGATGTTAAACGCACAGTGTTCACTTTCGTGCTGACATTGCCGCGCATTTGGCGAGTGCCTCTCTTCACGATGACCAAGTTTGGAGAGTTTTTTAGCGGCCATCTGGTGAGGATTCGCAACTTCGAGTTCAGGACTCGTTCGAAGGCGCAGCGCTTCAAGGAGGCACAGCTGATCGCGTTCCGCTGCGTCATGCTCGCAGAGTTTTTTTGGGCCTGCCTCTGTTCAAGATGGCAGATATGGTGCCTGCAGTTCTTTTGCACAGTGTGGCTGAACATGTTCTTGATCGTCGCATCCCATGACTTCGAGGTGGTGAGGGAGGACCAGTCGTACGTCGGCCTAGACTGGGGCATCTTCCAGATACAGCATGCGCTTGACACGTACATCACTGGGGTGCAGGTAGTCGACCTTTTCCTGTCCGCGGGGCTCAGTTGCCACAGGGTGCACCACTGCCTGCCGTACCAGAAGTCTGGCTTTGCCAATATAGTGTCGCTGCCTGCGGTCAAAAGTACATGCGAGGAGTTCGGGGTCGAGTGGGCCCCAGCTCGGAACCTCATCCTGGACCGCTGGTTCCCGCTAATGTGGTACTACTTGACCGCGCCCGCGCAGGTGCCTGCCAGCCCGGCGCCCATCCAGACGGGCGGTCCTGGCATCTGGGGCTTCGTGAAGGAGCACATGGTGCTGCGAGACTACCGCCGTGCCGTCCTCAGCATCTGGTGGAGCTTCACTGGCGCCACGATTTGAAGGGAGTACGTGATACACAGATTTCCCGCCTTACCTTGTCATAACATGTCAGAGCAAGAGCATCACAAGAGGCCCACCTGCTGACAGCGGCAGCCTTTGGCGAATGTGTTGAGGTCAGCGCTTTTTCCTTGAGATCGTTTTCAACTATTAATCTGGTGCGCTGCCCTAAACAGCGAGACGTCCAGGGTCATCATGTTCCAGCCTACCTTAGCCTTGAGAAGGTGTGGGCGCCGGGTCCACGTGATGAGACGTTGCCCTCATGGCCCGTTGCGGCACCTACGGATACCAGTCGCTGTTTAGGGTCTCGCTGCATAGTGTAACTTCTTCGATGTAGCGTTAAATCGGGTCTGTCCGTCTGCAGGGGGAATATTCAAAATAGTTAAACATAGTAGGATGAGTTTTTTTTGTGTTGAAGTTTTCTTTGAATATTTGTGGAGTATTTTCAATTAATTGCTTCGCTCATTCCGCCGGCCCGTATTGTCTCGCCGCTGTCGTTTGTTTGGGTGTTGCTGTCAATGCTGTGCCGCTGGGCGGCTGGCACTTTCAAGAGGCGGGGTGTGGTGAGCGTCGCATGTGAAGCAGTTGCCGTGGAATTGCTTCCTGTGGGTCCGCCTCTTTGTGTGCTTTTTGGGGGGTCTCTTGGGAGGCCTCTCGGGGGTCTCTTGGCGTTATCTAGACGCTTCGCGTAACCCCACCAGCCCATCCAGAAACGATGCCGAGAGGAATTGCCTCGATCAGGGAAGTGGGCAGCGCACAGAGGAAGGGTCCCCCAATGGAGGCCTCTTGGAGCGTCTTGGGGGCCTCTTGGCGGTTCCGGACGCCTCTTAGAGCGTCTTGGGTGCCGCGGATACCTTCTTGGGGCCTCTTGGGGGTCTCTTGGAGCCTCTTGGAGGCCTCTTGGGCGCCTGTTGGGGCCTCCTGGGGCCCCCTGGGCGCCTCTTGGGGCCCTCTTGAAGCGCTCTTGGGAGCCTTGGGAGCGCTCGTGGAGCCCTCTTGGGCCATCTTGGAGCCATCTTGAAGCCTCGGATGGCCATTGGAAGCGAAAAGGCGAGAAAGCCAAAAATTTTTGTTTTCTTTGGGTTTTGGAAGGATTCTGGCCTCTTAGTGGTTCTGGGGGAGCGAGGTCATCTTGGACTCTCCCAAGCGCTCTTGGAGTCATCTTAAGCAGTGCCCCCCCAGGAGGCCAACATGTGGCCAAAACCTTAGTAAAATCAATGATAGCATTCTCGCCGAGACCTCTTGGAACGTCTTGGGTGCCTCTGGGGGGCCTCTTGGAGCCTCTTGGGGGTCTCTTGGGAGCCTCTTGGAAGCATCCTGGGGGCCTTATGGGGTCCCGTTGGAGCCTCCTGGCCACCTCTTGGGGCCCCCCTTGGGCACCCTTGGGAGCCTTGGGAGCGCTCTTGGGACCATCTCGGAGGAGATCGATCAAAGAAGGGGGGTCACTCAATTAGCGCTGCCCCCCCCAAGATGCCAAAATGGGGCCAAAACCGTAGTACAACCAATGATTTTGGCTTCCTCGCCGAGGCCGTTTTGGACGTTCCGACGACCCGCGAAGCGCCCCATCCAGGTCCAGGGGAGGGGATAGGGGGAGGGTTCAAGACCACCTCCCCGCCCGCAAGCCGTCTCGCTCACTCCCACCCGCCCTCCCAACACATACGTAGCACCCGAGCCTGGCCCGAGCCGCACCATATTCAGCAGTCGTCTTTGGATGAGCAGCTACTGGGGGCGAATCTGCCGCCGCCGCCGCCTCCGCCGCCGCCGCCGCCGCGCCGCCGCCGCCGCCGCCGCTGTCCGCCGCCGCCGCCGCCGCGCCGCCCGCCGCCGCCGTCCGCGCTGCCGCCGCCGCGCGCCGCCTGCCGCCGCGGCCGCTGCCGCCGCCGCGCCGTCGCCACCCGCTGCCGGCCGCCCGCGCAGCCGCTGGCCGGCGCAGCCGCTGCCGCCACCGCTGCCGCCGCCGCCGCCGCCCCCCGCCGCCGCCGCCGCCGCCCCCGCCGCCGCCGCCACCGCCGCCGCCACCGCCGCAGCCGCCGCAGCCGCTGCCCCCGCCGCAGCCGCCACAGCCGCCGCCGCCGCCGCCGCCGCCATGTACTGTTTTTTGACAGTGATGGTGGGGGGAGGCCGCAACGGGTTCGCTGCGCATGCTCCGAATTTGGAGGCAGAGTGTGTTGTGTATTGTTTTTTACAGGGATGGTGGGGGGTGCCCGCATTGTCCCTGGTTGGTTCCCAGTCGCCTGGGGGAGGGGGTGTATATTAATAGGGAACAGTGATACCCCCCCGAAAAAGGAAGAAGGGGGTGGAAGAAAAAACACCCTAAACCACCTGCGCCCTAAAGGGCTGGTGGGATTCGTGTTCCTCCGATGGGGCTCCTCTTAGGGCTGTCTTGGGCTGTCCAGAGGGCCTCGTGGGCCGTCTTGGGGCCCTCTTGGGCCGTGCGGGGCCCATCTTGGGAGTGTGTTGGGCCGTCTTGGAACGATTTGGAAGGTTTCGTGGGCGGTGTTGGACGCGCTGGACCTCGAAACGTCGTATATGGGCAAAATGTATGTTTTCTGGAGGAAATGAAACACGTTTTGCTTGTTGAGGCTCTCTAGGAGAGCCTCATGAGGCTCTCTTGGGGCTTCTTGGCGGCGTCTTCGGCTGTCTGGAGGCCATCTTTGGAATCTTGGGACGATCGTGCGGGTCGGCAAGCTGGAAGGGTCAATTCGACCTCCCCTCGTAGGGCTGTCTAGGGCTGTCCAGGGGGTCTCGTGGGCCGTCTTGGGGCCCTCTTGGGCCGTGTTGGGCCCATCTTGGGAGTGTGTTGGGCCGTCTTGGGGCGAACCTCGAAACGTCGTACATAGGCAACGTGTACGTTTTCTGAAAGGGAATGGGGCACTTTTTGCTTGTTGAGGCTCTCTCTAGGAGAGCCTCTTGAGGCTTCCTTGGGGCTTCTTCGCGGCGTCTTGGGCCGTGTGGCGGCGACCGAGGTCTCCTCGGACCGTCTGGAGCACGTCACGGGGCTCTCTTGGAACGTTCTTGGGGCGCCCGGGAAAGCCTGGAAGGCAGCGCCGAGGAGGAACACCATCTCTGGGCCTCACCTTGCCGGGACCTGTCCGGGTACTTTTCGGTCGAGGGCCCCCAGGGTGACCCCACGCGGGCGAACTGGAAATTTGTAAATCAGTTGCCTTAGTTCTTAGCACGCCTCTGGCCCGTTGGGCCAGCGCATTTTTCGTCCAAAATCCGCCTGTAGGGGGACACGCCCGACCCAACCCGAGTGTCGTAAGTAGGGGTGAAGATTCGACCGTGTCGCTGGAGTGTCAACAAAAGAAACTCACAAGCGGACGAACGCCGCTTCAGCAGCGGGCGCCGCGGCACCTGCGATGGGCTGCCCCTGGCCCTTGCCTGCCTGATTCGCGGAGCTGCCTTCGTCAACGCCCTCAGGACCGAGGCTGCGCCCCGATGGAAGAAATCGCTCCTGGTGCTTCTCCGTGCAGTCTGACTCGATTCCAACCCCCCTGGCGGTCGAGGATGCCTTCCTTGCGCGCCCCCGGCCTTCGAAGCGCACTGGCAGGGCGCGCTCGCTCGCTCGCCCCCTTTTGTGCCGACGTCGCTCCTCCATGGCCTCGGCCGAGCGCTGCGGGCTCCACGAGCCGACAGCTGGCGTGGCGGCCAGACCTGGCGGGCGCCAGTGGTCGGGCTGGGATGCGGGGCGCAGCTCTCTCGCGGGGGCAGGAGCGTGAGCAGGCAGGTACTTTCGCGACCGCCTTGCCGTGAAGACAGTGCCATTCTTCATGGTAGGTTCGTGAGCGCGGGACGCTCGACAAATGTCGAGCACCGTGTTTTGGGCGAAGGGCCTGCGTGCCGTACTGTATACATCTGTGGCTCTCAAGTTCTCCATCGGCTCGACCCCTTCCAGGGCCAGGCGCGACCAGCTTGGCCCTTCCTCGTGTGCTCCCTCGGCCTCCGCCGACGCAAAAAGTCTGCTCCCTCGGGGGCCTGGCCCTCTCGCCACGTCTCCCCAGCAGGGTTGCGGTGCCCACTGCGTCGGGATCATTACTCCGACAACCCTCAAGTCACGCGCTGCGTACTTGGTCTTCCAAGAGAAAGAAGGAATAGTAATAGCAGTAGCAGTCATACTTACGCTACCGAGGAACCCCACATACCTATTTTATTTCCCATGTGTACCATCGGTGCTTCTGCTGCTGCTCCTCCTTCTCCTCCTCGGTGTCCTCCTCCTGCTGCTGCTTCTGCTGCTGCTGCTTCTGCTGCTGCTGCTGCTGCTGCTGCGTCTGCTGCTGCAGCTGCTGCTGCTGCCGCTGCTGCTGCCCCACCTCCCCGTCCTCCTCCTCCTCCTCCTCCTCCTACTCCTCCTCCTCCTCCTCCTCCTCCTCTACCTCCTCCTCCTACCTCCCAGCGCACCCTCTGTGGCGTCGAGGACATGCCACGCCTGCCACGCCCTGGGAGCCTGCAGCGCATAGGGCCCCCACCCCCAGCGCACCCCCTGTGGCGTCGAGGAAATGCCACGCCTGCCACGCCCTGGGAGCCTGCAGCGCATAGGGCCCCCACCCCCAGCGCACCCCCTGTGGCGTCGAGGAAATGCCACGCCTGCCACGCCCTGGGAGCCTGCAGCGCATAGGGCCCCCACCCCCAGCGCACCCCTTGTGGCGTCGAGGAAATGCCACGCCTGCCAGCCCTGCCACGCCTGAGCCTGCCGCATAGGGCCCCCACCCCCAGCGCACCCCCTGTGGCGGGCTATTTGCCACGCCTGCCACGCCCTGGGAGCCTGCAGCGCATAGGGCCCCCACCCCCAGCGCACCCCTGCGTGAGGAAATGCCACGCCTGCCACGCCCTGGGAGCCTGCAGCGCATAGGGCCCCCACCCCCAGCGCACCCCCTGTGGCGTCGAGGATGTGCCATGCCTGCCACGCCCTTGGAGCCTGCAGCGCATAGGGCCCCCACCCCCAGCGCACCCCCTGTGGCGCCCAGGAAATGCCACGCCTGCCACGCCCTGGGGGCCTGCAGCGCATATGGCCCCCACCCCAAGCGCCCCCCCTGTGGCGTCGAAGGAATGCCCTGTGTGCTATGCTGTGCTGTGCTGTGCTGTGCTGCTGTGCGGTGAGCTGTGCTGTGCTGTGCCGTGCTGTGCTGTGCTGTGCTGTGCCGTGCTGAGTTGAGCTGAGCTGAACTCAGCTGTGCTCAGCTGTGCCTTGCCTTGCTGAGCTGAGCTGAGCAGAACTGTGCTGAGCAGTGCTGTGAGGAGGAGGAGGAGGGGAAGAGTGAGGTGTGAGAGAGAGAGAGAGAGAGAGACAGACGGAGAGGGAGGTGTGATGCAGTGAACACGCCAGGCGCGCACTAGCGTTGTATGGTGTGTGTGTGTGTGTGTTGTGCGAATGTGTGCATGCGTGCGGCTGTATGTAGACGCGTGTGTCATGTACTTTCCGTGCATGTGTTGAGCGCGGGTGAGGAGAGGAAGAAGAGGGAGGAGGGGAGGTGTGAGGAGACGCGGGTGCGCCGCGGCAGGGAAGAAAACCATAACCCCACGAAACATGTGGGGAACAATAATACTAGTACTAATAATCATACCAATAATAATACTACTATTAAGCATCATACTAATACTAATCAGCAGAGCAATGATACTAATACTAAGCATACTAGCAATAATACGAACAAGACGAGCAAGCACATTACGCTATGAATACACGCTCTCCGAACTCCGCGCGGAGTTCTTCTGTCGGCGCCGGGCCCCGCTGGCGGTGCCTCCTGGCGCCGCCCTCGGCACGCTGCGCGCGGCAGGGACGGGGTCCAGCGCCTATCGAAGATGCCCGCGCGGACATCCGAACGTATGTTGTTGTGTCGTTCTCTATATGTAGCGTTCAGTTGGGCACGTCCCTCTACAGAAGGAGTATTCAAGAATTGTAGACAAATAGCTAAGGGGTTCTTGGGGCGGAGGGCTCGGAATGTCTGTTCGAGTTGTCTTTCTTGGGCTCCTTTTGGGATGGGACCCTGTTGGGGCCTTCTGGGGCCATCTTGGGCGCCCTGTGGACCGTCGTTGGCCCCTCTTAGGCCGTCTTGGGGCCTTCTCGGGGGCTTCTTGGACTTGAGCCGTCTTGGGCGTCGGGAAGACCAAACATGCGAGCATGCAAAAATATACGTTTCCCTTAGGGGTTGGGACGATTATTGCTTATTGGCCCTCTCAGGGGTCGTCTTGGAGACCTCTTGGGCAGTTTTGAGGCTCCCTTGTCTGGAGCACAGCTTGCGCCAGCTTGGAGGGCAACTTGGGCATTTTGGAGGCCGCGGAGTGTGGATCTGGAGTCCCCGAGGTCCCTGGAGGGGCGTTGACGAGGTCTTCTCCAGAGGGGCCCCCAGGAGAAGGGGAAAGTCGGACCAACACCAGTATCGGCGGTGTGCCTCCACCGAGGGAAGAAGATCCCGATCTCGGTGATGGTGGTAATATTCTGGCTTCAAGGTGACCGAAATATTACCACCAACACCGAAATCTAGGAGCAGCATCCCCTTGTGGAGGCAGCCCCCTGTGTTGGTGTTGGTGCCCACTTCCAGGCCTCCAAGAAAGGGGAAGGGTGGACAGCCAACCATCTCTCGCACGCCTTCTCACCCCCAACAGGCGAGGGTCGGCGGATTTTGGCGTCTTTCTCCAGTTGCCTCTTACTGTCCTCTGTCGTCGTCGTCGTCGTCGTCGTCGTCGTCGTCATCGCCCTCCGCATTCCTCCTCGTGCTCGCCCTCGTTCTCTTCGTCCTCGTCCTTGTGCTTCTCTTCCTCCTCGTTGTCCTCATGCTCCTCCGCGCTATCCTCACGTCCGCCACGTCGTCCTCGTCATCGACTCATCTTTGCCCTCGCCTTCCTTTTCTTCTTCGCCCAATGCGCCCATTAGACTAAAGCGGCGCTTCCCGTTCTTGTCCGATCAGGTTTTGGCCTCTTGGGGGGCCTCTTGGAATGCCTCTCGGGGCTCTCGGGGCGTCTGAGGGGCTTCCTCAGGCCGTCTCGGGGCCATTTTGGGAGTCTTTGAGCGCTCGCTCGACGATTCGATGCCCTTCGGGACCGTCTTGAGGGCCTTCTGGGCCACTGTTGGCTCGTCGTGGGGCTCTCTTGGCTCCGAAAGTCACGCGACAGCACTCACCCGGGCCCAGGGGGCACGCGCCATGCCCAATGATGTCAAGGATTGAGGACTGTGGCTCAGGGACTGAGGACTGTGGCTCAGGGAATTGAGCAGGGTCCCTGAGGACACACTCCAACTCGTGCCCGAGAGCATGGTGGCGGATTTGTTGTACTGTATGATCTGGTTGGACGCACGCCTCCAAGGAGGACACAGTACTAGTATGTCCTTCTGCGTCCCAGGATACACCATTCGGCGTCGTCTCAGCTGGCCTGGCCCTCGTCGCAGATCGTCGCGCGCGCGCGACCGCGCGCGGGGCGCCGCGGCAGGCACGCTGCGCGCTCGGCGAGCTGGCCACGGCGCCGGTGGCGCAGTGCTCGGCGAGCGCCGCCCCCGCCCGGTTGCTTTGGCAACGGTGTGCTGCGGTTGTTAGCAGCGGTGTGCTGCGTGCATGTGCGTGGGTGTGGGCGTGGGCGTGGGCGTGGGCGTGGGCGTGTGTGTGTGTGTGTGTGTGTGTGTGTGTGTGTGTGTGTGTGTGTGTGTGTGTTGTGTGTGTGTTGTGTATGTAGGCGTTTGTGTGTGTGTGTGTGTGTGTGTTCTGGCCGGCTTTTGGGCCTGAGCTGCCTCGCGTGGGTGATTTCGTTCTCACCCAGCCGGCGCGCGCGCGAGCCCTCGGGTATTTTCGAACGGAGCCCAGCCGCGGTGCTCAAAAGTGTGTGTGTGTGTGTGTGTGTGTGTGTGTTTATTTTATATACACATTTTCGCATATATGCATAATTATATACAGCCACACCCTTCAGTGTTCCACTCGGCTTTGAACCTCCGCTGTCGCCACCGATGCCGTCCACCGCGTCCGGTGGCCAGCTCTGCTCAAGCCTCTCTCCCAGGGCGCGAGGGAGAGGCCCGCCGCCCGCTCCTGGCGGGGCTTGCCCGCGAGCCCGTGCGGGCAGGCGCCTCCGTGGGCACTCTCTCCGAGCTGCCCGCCTTCGGCGCCGCCGTGCCCGCCCGCTGCCCGGGCTGCCACTGCGCCTGCGGGGGGGCGCCCGGCAGGCCTGCGTCGCCGGGCGGCGGCGGCGGCGAGCCCGCCCGGCTCGCCGCGGGGGCGCCCGCCGGGCAGCGCGGCGCGCTGGCCGCGGCCGCCCGCGGCGTGGCTGAGCTCTGCGTCGCTCAGGCCGGACGAAAGGGGGGGATAGGGAAAGGGGGGGTTACGAAATCTGCTGCATGCAGCTGGTTTCGGCCTCCACCGAGGGGCCCATTCCTCGATACATGGGCGCCTCCCGGCGCCGGGAGGCGCCAGGAAAATCAGCTACGTGAGCTGATTCTCAAACCCCCCCTTTGCTATCCCCCCCTTTCGCCCGACCCGAGTCGCGTGGCCTGCGGCGCCGCTGGAGCGCTGCTGGGGCTCGTGACAGGAGTCCTGCTGGCGGGGCTGTCCGCCCTCACTAATTGTGGTGTTCTGGCTCGATGTGGCTCCGGATTGCGACCCGCTGTGGCGTTGCTGCGTCCCGGAGATTGCCAGCAGCGCTCATTATTGTGTTCTGGCGCGATTTGGTTTAGACGTGCGATTCAGTATGGTGTTCTGGCGGCCCGGAATCAGCTGGCAGTGATCATGATGGTGTTTTGGTGTGATCTGGTCCAGACATGAGATTCCCTGGCCTGTTCTGGCTCGGTTTTAATTTAATTGTTTCTTCAGGATATCCACGCGGGGGGTGAGTGTTCTGGGTCGGTTTCAGCCGTCGCAGGTCCAGAATTGAGACTCACTTTGGTGGTCTGCCTCGATTTGGTCCAGAAGTGATGCTCACTATGGTGTTCTGGCTTGGTTTTGGCCCAAGTGTCATTATGTTCTGGCCCGATTTGGTCTGGTAATGCGACCCACAGTAGTGTGCTGGTTCGACTTCAGTTCTGATCTACTTCTCCTTGGAATCTCCAGGTGGGCTGATTTTTTTGGGTTCGATGTCAGCCCTCGCACATCCAGAAATGATATTCATTATGGTGTTCGGCCTTGAGTTTAGTCGTCGCAGGTCCAGAAGTTGTGACAACGCATTGATGTCACCATGTCGACACCACGAACGTGAGTCTCGTTAGCAAAGGCAGCTCCGCAGTCGTCCATCCGCTTCCACACCCTAGCTGCTATTTGGGGTACATGGCTGGGGTAATTTTGAACAGTGGCTGAATAACGTTCCTGGGACTTCCACCTCGCGGATCACCATTATTGTTGCGTTTGGACGATCCCGAGTCGCGCCAGATCTCCATTCCTGGGACTTCAACACATCAGACCAGCCGTGACAGTCCGATATCGTGCCACTGCGTCATACTTGTGACGTGAGCCACGGTAATCCTTGAAACTGCTGTACACTTCAAGACGAGTGGACGCGTCGCGAAGGCGAGAACCACAGTCTGACGAGGACCGCCTTCCGTCCGTCAAGCTCGTGCAGCGTTTCAGACGAGTGTGCGCGGCGCTGAGGCCCGCCCTCCATCCGTGAGGCTCCTGTAGTTTTTGGACAAATGTCAGGAGGGGGAAAAACACACAGACACAAGTAATCGTCGATTCCCAAGAAAATATGGGAACATATGGGAAGTGGGGGGGAAGACAGAGATCCAGAAAATATGGGAAATATGGGGAATCTTTTCATTTGTGTGTATTTATTTGTGTGTCCTGAGGCCCCTTCAAAATGTTTGCGGCGCTACGGCGGTGACCGCATTTAGGGAGAAACGGCCCGCTGTCCATCCGTGAAGCTTTTACAGTTTTTGAGACGGAGGTGCGCGTCGCTGAAGCGAAAGCCGCCTTTGAAAACGGCCCGCCCGCCATCCGTGACGGACTTGCGCATGTTTAAGCCGGATGTTCGTGGCGCTACGGCGAGGGCCACATGTTGAACACCACCCGCTTTCCTCACGTGAAGCTGTTGCAAGTGGTGAGCTTCAGGATCATCAAGGTTCATGAAGTCTCAGGCGAGACACCCGGCCCGCTCTTTCGACTGGCCTCCGGGTGCGACAGAGAGGACTTCTTGGGGGAAAGGAATGGAGGAATAGGAGGAGGAGGAGGAGGAGGAGGAAAAGGAGGAGGAGGGGGAGGAGGGGGAGGAGGAGGAGGAGGAGGAGGAGGAGGAGGAGGAAAAGGAGGAGGAGGAGGCCGAGGAGGAGGAGGAGGAGGAGGAGGAGGAGGAGGAGGAGGAGGAGGAGGAGGAGGAGGCCGGCGCGTGCGGCGAGAGTCCCCTGCCTGCCGCCGCCCAGGCGTTCCACCACCTGCTGGACCGCTTGGTCGACTCCCCCGAGGCCCCCGCCTTGCCGCAGCGCCCGCCAGCCACCAGCCGCCCGCGCGCGCTCTTCTTCGAGTGGCCCCCGCGCGTGCGCGGGCTGCCAAGCCCCCGCCGCGAGATCCTGGCGACTTCAAACGGGTGTGATTACGCCGGGGAGTGGCTCGCGGTCTGCGTCGGTGGTGACAGGTGGACATTCCGAATAGGTCGCGACCGATTCTGACGCGCGTCGCTCGCGATCGATACCGGAGATCTTCACTCTTTGCGTGTCCCCACCAACCCATTTAGAAGCGTCGCCAATGAGAGCTCACTAGACAAGGGGACGAAGAGACACATGTAGTGAAACAAAGCGGGCAGCCAGGATGAACAGAGAGATCTCTGGGAGCAAGGGGGGTGGCCTTGGAGGGCCTCTGCGGGCCATCCCTGGGGCCCGCGGGGGGGCGAGGGGCGGCGGAGGAGGAGGAGCAGGAGGAGGAGGAGGATGATGATGATGAGGAGGAGGAGGAGGAGGAGGAGGAGGAGGGAGGAGGAGGAGGAGGAGGAGGAGGAGGAGGAGGAGGAGGAGAGGAGGAGGATGAGGAGGCGGCGGAGGAGGAGGAGGAGGAGGAGCAGGCGGAGGAGGAGGAGGAGTAGGAGAGGGGGAGGAGGATCCTGGGAGTCCTGGAGGGTCTCTTGAGGCCCTCGAAAGCATCCAGAGGTTTAGCGGGGAGTAGATGAGGGGAACGGAACGATGCAGTGAATGGGGCTCTTTCGTCCGCTGCGACGGGCTTCCGAGTCTTTCCTTCCTCGCTTCTTCGAGGAAGCTAGGACAGCCTTTTCCCTCCCTGCATACGAGCCTTTCGCTCCTCGCTTCCTCGCGAGGAGGGGGAGGGGGAGGAGGAGGAGGAGGAGGAGGAGGAGGAGGAGGAGGAGGAGGAGGATCCCAGGAGGAGGGAGGAGGAGGAGGAGGAGGAGGAGGAGGAGGAGGAGGAGGAGGAGGAGGAGGAGGAGGAGGAGGAGGAGGAGGAGGCGGAGGCGGAGGAGGAGGAGGAGGAGGAGGAGGAGGAGGCAGAGGCAGAGGCAGAAGCAGAAGCAGAAGCAGAAGAAGCAGACGCATAATCATAAGCATAATACTACGAGTAATACTAATACTATCAAGCATAAGCATAAGCAGAAGCAGGCGCATAAGCATAAACATACTCATAATCATAACAATACTGGTACGACTAAGAAGCATATTCATAATCATACACATACTCATGAGCAGACATCGAATACTAATAATAGTAGTAATAATAATAATATTCACAATCATACGATTAATCAGATGCGTACTGCTAATACTAATACAAAGACAATGAATACTCATGCTTATAATGTTACTACTACTAATAAGACGGCTAACATTAAGACCGCTACTAGGAATACTACTACTACGAACACTAATCCTAGCAACACTAATACTCATACTACTAATAAGAAGATGGGTGAGACACAATATTAATACTAGTATTAATGATGATAATATTACTACTACGAATACTACTGATAATACGAATAAGAAGAACAATCATAATCCGAATGCTAATAAGAATAATAATGTGAGGAGGAGGAGGAGGAGGTGGAGGAGGAGGAGGAGGAGGAGGAGGAGGAGGAGGAGGAGGAGCTGGAGCCCGCCCCTGGGGCCATCGAGGCCCCCGCGTTCGAGGCAAGGCCTCTGCGTGGTCTCTCGAGACTCTGCTGCGCCCCCGCCGGCGGCCCCCCGGCCGCTGCCCCGCGCAGTGCGCAGACCCCCGCCGATCGATCTGGAAGGCCCCGTCAGGCCCGGGGGTCCTCGTTTCCAGCGGCCCCCCCCCCATCGGGGACGGAAAAGAGGGGGGTGATGACTAGGGGGGGGTGGATATCATGGCGGGGGCCATGATATTTCCCCAGATTTCATGGCGCCTCTTCTTATTTTATTACGTCCCTGGCCCCCCCCGCTGGGCCGCGCACATGCCGCCGGTCATGATTTGCACCCCCCCCCTCTTGGACACCCCCCTCTTGGCCGCTCCCGACCCCACGGTACTCTAGACCTCCTAGATGGGGCCAGAGCAGATGGGGTCGGAGGATCGCGCCGCATCGCCGATGCATCAGCGATGCGGCTCGATGCGGGGCACCATTTTCTCCACGCCGACGCCGCCGATGCATCGCCGACGTCGCAAGTGCATGGCCGATGGATCGCCGATGCATCGGCGATGCATTGGCGATGCGGCGTGACCCTTCGATCGATCGGGAAGGCCCCGTCATGCCTGGGGGGCCTCGTTTCCAGCGGCCCCCCCCCGGTACCAGATTCGGGGTACAGTGCGGGCGCGGCCGCAAGAAACCATCGCAAGAAGCCCAACCCTGAAAACCCTTGCGCGAGGTGCACCTGAGGAGAAGGGACGCAGCAGCCTCGTCAACGGCCGCGGGAAGCCACCGCGCCGCGCGCGCGGAGCGAAGAGACCCGGGGTGCCCTGACGAACAGCGCACGGCTTCTGGAGGCGCGCCCCCACTTGTTCACCACCCACCAAACCACCCCAACCCAACCCGAAGGCTCAGATTTGCCCTCCATTTCCAGTGGGGGGGGTCGCGGAACATCGACAAAAACACGTATGGAACCCTTACCCCCCCCCCACCCGAAATTCGGGCCTTCGGGTTGGGCCGGGGTGGTTTGGTTTGGTAGTCACTTGCAGGGCGGCGCGGCCCTCCTCTCCTGGGACTCCGAGGTCGCCGTGCGGCCCGTCGCCGCGCGGCCCATCGGGGCCCCCGCCCCTCCGAGCCGCGGGCGGCCGGCGCCGGCGCCCGCGGCCCCTGGGCGGGGCTGGGGCCTCGGCGCCGGGCGCGCTGCAGCCCCCCGCGGCCGCGCGTGGAGGCCTGCTTCGCCGACCCGCTGGCGGCCTTCAAGGCCGGACCCCGCCGCGCAGCCAGGGGCCGGGGCTCCTTTAAAGCGACGCGGAGATCGGGACAGAATCGGGTCGGGGTAACTCGAGATCTCTGAGGATCGGCGGGTTTGGAGGATGTATTGGGCGCCGCGGCCGCTCCAGAGCGTTCCAGAACGCTCTGAGAGCGCTCCGGAACGCTCTGGAGCGATTTATCCCGATCCTCTGTTTTACTCCTTGAGACGGGGGTCGATGCCAGCGGGGGTCACTGGCCACGCGCAGAAGGGGTAGGGGGAGGGGGGTAGGCTTCCTAGAGGCACCCCTGCTTCTCGAGGGGAGCGGGCCTTCTTGTAGATGTAAGGCCGGCGCCTTCTAAGAAGCAGCCTCCCGAAGAAGCCTCCCTCCCCTACCCCCTTGTGCGCGGCCAAGGTCCGCCCGAGCGAATCTTTGCAGGATCCCGGGGGCCAGGGCCGCAGCGGCCGGGCTTCGGTTCCAGGAGCCTGCAGAATCCAGCGCACTGGCCCGGCTGGGAGGAGGATCGGCAGGACGAGGAGGAGGAGGAGGAGGATGGGGAGGAGGAGGAGGAGGAGGAGGAGGAGGAGGAGGAGGAGGAGGAGGAGGAGGAGGAGGAGGAGGAGGAGGAGGAGGAGGAGGAGGAGGAGGAGGAGGAGAGAGGAGGGGAGGGGAGGAGGAGGAGGTGGGGGAGAGGAGGAGGAGGAGGAGGAGGAGAGGAGGGGAGAGGAGCGAGGAGGCGGAGGAGGAGGAGGAGGAGGAGGAGGGGGAGTAGGGGGAGGAGGGGGGGAGGGGGAGGAGGGGAGGAGGAGGAGGAGGAGGAGGAGGAGGGGTGAGAGGAGGAGGAGGAGGAGGAGGAGAGGAGGAGGAGGAGGAGGAGGAGGGAGGAGGAGGAGGAGGAGGAGGAAGAGGAGGAGGAGGGGGGAGGAGGAGGAGGAGGAGGAGGGAGGAGGAGGCAGGTGGAGGGGAGGAGGAGGAGGAGGAGGAGAGGAGGAGAGGAGGAGGAGGAGGAGGAGGAGGAGGAGGAGGGAGGAGGATGGAGGAGGAGGAGGAGGAGGAGGAGGAGGAGAGGGAGGAGGAGGAGGAGGAGGGGAGGAGGAGGAGGAGGAGGAGAGAGGAGGAGGAGGAGGAGGAGGAGGAGGAGGAGGAGGGGAGGAGGAGGAGGAGGAGGAGGAGGAGGAGGAGGAGGAGTTGGAGGAGTTGGAGGAGGGGAGGAGGAGGAGGAGGAGGGGAGGAGGAGGAGGAGGAGGATGAGGAGGAGGAGGAGGGGGACTGACCCTGGGCAGAAGGTCCTCGAAGGGGAGGGGGGGGGCCGGGGGCGCTCCGCGCGCCGGGCACGCGGGTGGGAGCCGTCTCGGGGTGCCGGAGGTGGTTCCGGCCAGCAGGAGGGCTCGGCAGCAGGTCGTTCAGGAGGGGAAAGACACACGCAGACGGGGCCTTCGTGTTGGGTTGGGGTGGTATTCGGCAGCGACCTCATCCCCATGGTGAGCGAAGGGGGCCCAAAGACACAAACATATTCAGACACAAACTCCCGAATCCCCCACAGCTTCTATATCTTCTAGAGGTTTGCTTTCCCCTCCACTTCCCACATGTGTTTTCCCTCCTGATTTTGAAGGCCCCAAAGCAGCCCCGAGAACAACACTGAGAGAGCCGTAAAAAGTACCAAATTAGACATTCGCCAGCCCCCATTGGGGGCAACAAGGCTGCGCGGATGATGTGTCATGCAACCTGCTGCAGCTCCAGCTACCAGCCGGAAAGGTTCTAATACGCTTTGCTGCTTCCGGAAGCCAGCCATTCACCACGCCCCGCGGAAATCCACGACTGCTTGTGTCTGTGTGTGTGTGTGTGTGTGTGTTCCCCCCTGATAACGGGGCCCCCGGCGGGCGGCGGCGCGCTGAAAGAGCCAGCGAGACCCCGCACCCCTGGCCAGGCCCATCCTGAGCCCAGTAGCGGCGTGCACGCCACGCCCTCCTGGCTTGGCCGGGAGGGCGTATGCACAGCCCCTGGGCTCAGGGTGGGCCTGGCCAGGGAGCAGTGGGTATGTATACTCCAGATTTCGTAATAAAGGGCGGGGGGTCTCATTTCGGGGGGGGGTCTCTTCCAGGCGATCTTGGAGGGGAGACAGAAACCCAGAACATATGGGAAAATGTGGGGCATATTTTTATTTGTGTGTATTTATTTGTGTGTCCCAGGGCCCCTTCAATCGTGGGAGCTTGGTGTACCCTGTGAATTCCGTCTTTGGCGTCGATCAGCGTCGGGGCGTCGATGAGATAGCGCCGATTCAGCGTCGGCCATTGTCGATTCAGCGTCGATGGAGCGTCGATTTGGTCGACTCGCAAGAGCCGACAAGATGGTGTGGGAGGCTCCCATGAGTTGCCGCCGAAGCAGGAGGGGGGCAGGTTCGAGGTTCTGGGTTCGGGAAGGTTTTTTCCAACCATCCTGTGGTGTTGGGTCCTCGTTTTGAAGAGACAGCGCCCCGCGTCTCCTCCCGCTGCACAATTACTCAATATGAATACTACTCTCCCTCTTCCCCCGATGGCGGCCTGAAAGTATTAGACCCCCCCCGCGTACTGTTTTTTACACACAGGATTCCCGGGAGTTGGGTTTTCGCCTGCGTTTTTTTTTTAATGCTGCTCTCGCTGAGGCGCCGGCCTCATTTCTGCTCCCGAATCGGTCCGAATCGTGCTCCCGCTGCAGCGTGGGCATCATTTTCGGTTCGGTGTTTGGCCTCCGTCGTTCAGGATGGCGTTCTCGCCCCAGCGCGGGCCTCTTTCTCGCGCGCCCATCCGCCCGCCACCACCGCGCCGCACCACCACCACCACCACCACCACCACCACCACCACCACCACCACCACCACCACCACCACCACCACCAGCACACCACCACCACACCACCACCACCCACCACCACCACCACCCACCACCACCAGCACCACCACCACCACCACACACCACCACCACCACCACCACACCACCACCACCACCACCACCACCACCACCACCCCACCACCACCACCAACCACACCACCACCACCACCACCACCACCACCACCACCACCACCACCACCACCACCACCACCACGACAACCACGCACACACGCACGCACGCACGCACGCGCACCACCACCCACTACGCACGCGCGCGCGGAGCCACAGGTCCGCTACGACACGCGTCCGCGGATAGAGAAAATCAGCGCCATGGTAAGGGATGGGAGGGAGGGGTAGGACGTCAGATATGACGCGAGCGCACCTAGCTTGCCCCTCACCCCTCCCCCTCATCCCTGCGCTTCACCCACCCAGCACAGCGTTTCGTATTCCCATAGGGGCTTCACCGAAGGCCCCAGGCAGGGTTCGCATGGCGGCCTCGGGCCATTTCGGCACGGCACCCCTCACGAGGATCGTGGCCCCATAGCTCATCTCCACCGAAGGCGCCAGTGGCAGGTTCGCATGGCGGCCTCGGGCCCTTTCGGCACACCCCTCACGAGGATCGTGGCCCCATAGGGAGCTCACCGAAGGCGTCAATTGGCAGGTTCGCATGGCGGCCTCTGGCCATTTCGGCACACCCCTCACGAGGATCGTGGCCCCATAAGGAGCTCCACCGAAGGCGCCAGTGGCAGGGTTCGCATGGCGGCCTCGGGCCATTTCGGCACACCCCTCACGAGGATCGTGGCCCCATAGGGAGCTCCACCGAAGGCCCCCAGTGGCAGGGTTCGCATGGCGGCCTCGGGCCATTTCGGCACACCCCTCACGAGGATCGTGGCCCCATAGGGAGCTCCACCGAAGGCCCCCAGTGGCAGGGTTCGCATGGCGGCCTCGGGCCATTTCGGCACACCCCTCACGAGGATCGTGGCCCCATAGGGAGCTCCACCGAAGGCTCCAGTGGCAGGGTTCGCATGGCGGCCTCGGGCCATTTCGGCACACCCCTCACGAGGATCGTGGCCCCATAGGGAGCTCCACCGAAGGCGCCAGTGGCAGGGTTCGCATGGCGGCCTCGGGCCATTTCGGCACACCCCTCACGAGGATCGTGGCCCCATAGGGAGCTCCACCGAAGGCCCCAGTGGCAGGGTTCGCATGGCGGCCTCGGGCCATTTCGGCACACCCCTCACGAGGACCGTGGCCCCACTGGAGCTCCACCGAAGGCGCCAGTGGCAGGGTTCGCATGGCGGCCCCGGGCCATTGCGGCACATCCCTCACGAGGATCGTGGCCCCATAGTTGTGCTGCTTCAACAACCGCGCCTGGGCGTCGTACTCCGCCTTGTCGACGTGCAACGCCACCTCCTCCCTCATGGCTCTCAAGGCCCTTTCCTGCTTCTGCTCCTCGGTGAGAGGGACGCCGTCCTTGTCGTCGTCGGCGCCCGCGAAGACGGCCACGAACGTGTCCCTGAGCATGTCGGGCTCCGGCGGGAAGCCGTGGCCACATAGGGAGCGCGGGCGAAGATGGTATTCACAATTGCGGCATTCACAACTGCATATGGTTGGGTCCTTCGCCAGGATAATTTGCCTTTTCGGGCATCCAGGGGCCGTTTTCGGGCCCCAGGGGCCCTTTGCCCGACGCCGTGTCTGTTCGGGGATGCGAATGGCGGCCGTGTTCCGTTCGCGTTTTTGATGTTCGTATGACACAACCGTCAGGCTCATGCCCGGTTCTGAACACAGTGCCTTCTACATTTTGATTTTTTACTTCTAGTATCTAGTACTTTTCTCGACGTGAGAGGAGCCGGCCACAGTGATCACGCCCCAGAGCACGGAATTTCTCAGTCGGATGATTGCGTTCGGGGGGAAAGGGCAGCGACGACGTTTCCCCTCTCCCTCTCCCATTCTGTTTGCGCCCTCTTCTTCTCCTCATATCCCCCTCCCTCCCTCCTTCCTTCCTGCCTTTCATTCTCCTCTGCCCCTGCTCCTCCTCCACCCTCACCCTTCTCCTCTATATTCCTCTTTCTCCCCCCTCCCCCTCCTGGAGGAGGAGGAGGAGGAGAAGGAACAGGAGGAGGAAGAGGATGATGTGGAGGAGGTGGAGGAGGAGGTGGAGTAGGAGGAGGTGGAGGAGCAGGCGGAGGAGCAAGAGCAGGACGGAGGAGGAAAAGGAGGGGGAGGAGGAGGACCCCCCCCGCACTTCTCCTCCGCCCCTCCCTCCCACGGGCCAGGCTGCCGCCGCCGGCGCAGCGGCCTGAGAGCTGCCGGCGTGCCCGTGCGTGGGCGCTGCCGTTGCGGGCCCGGTGCCGCCCCCGCATTCGCGCGGCTTCTCCGGGTCGGGGGGAGGCGGACATCTGCAGAGATTTCGGAGGGCACCAACTATACACCTACACCGATCCAGCCCAGGCCGATCCTAGGCCCAGGATCGGTGTATATGCATTCTGCCCATGGCAGGAGGGCGTATACACCGATCCTGGGCCCAGGTTGATCTGGGCCGGGATCGGTGTTGGTGTATAGTTGGTGCCTCCCTAAGATTGGGAAGGATCATGAGCTGACAACTGTCACCCATACCTAACTATACGGCCCCCTGATTTTTCGGGGCGGGCTTCTGCAAGGGCTATGCGTGCGTAGTGTCGGCTGGGGGTCCCCGCTCGGACGGTGACCCCCTTTCAGGTCCGGCAACCTGCACCCAAACTTATAGCTCAGCCTCACGTTTCGAGGCGCGGGGCAGCCTTCTAGAAGTACGGTGTGTGGCCCATTCGTCCAAGGAGGGGCGAAAGGCATTCAGACCACCGCCCTCACGCCGCGCTTCTCCGCGTCAGGGGGAGGTGGACATCAGCATGGGGGGAGGGAGGGGGATCTGGGAGAATATGGGGAAGGGACGGGCAACTCTAGGGGGGGATAGGCTCAGAGACTGCGAGAATGCGCGATGTGCCACGAGCATACGGTTTTTGGAAGTTTTTGTCGGCGCCCTCGAGATGCGTTTCAGCATCTGCTCCTCGCCGAGAGGTGTGTGGGGGTGCCCGGATCGTCCCGAGCCGCCGCCGTAAAGCCGAGTTATGCTCTGAAAACTAGGGGGGGGGCAGGGACCCAGACCCCCTCGCGTCGTGCCACACATCACGGTGGCAGGTTTTTGGCAGTTCTCGGCCTCTGGGGGGTTTTCGGGCCCCCAGGACTTGTCGAAAGCCAGCATGAGACGTGTCGGTCCTGGGGAAGTGGGTCGGGAGCTGCAGGGTCCAAGTTGTGCAACAAACCATGGCGTCGGTGTGCAACAAATCATGGCGTCGGGGGTCTGGGGAAAAGGGGAGGAGAGAAAGAAGGTTTCATAGCGCGGTGGAGGATGCTCTCGGCTGTTTTAGATCAGAAGGCTCCGGGAGGTTTCAGCGTGTCCTGGAGGGTCAGAGGGAGGGGTGCGGGAGGGGGGCAGGGGGAGGTGGAGAGGATGGCGGATACACGTGTGTTGTGGGCACCAGGTCTCGCATGTGTCGTGGTGGGGCAGCAGCGGCAAGTTGATGGGGATGATAGCGAAATGTGGACGGACTGGACGCGTAAAGTGGATGTGAGGTGGTTGGCGTGACAGTGTACGTGTGTGGCTGTGCGATTCAGGGTGAGAACGGGTGAGGGTGGTAACGACGATGGTGATAGTGGTGGTCGTGGTAATGCTGGCAGCGACGACGACACGACGAAGAGCGACGACAATGATGCTGCTGAGGATGGTGATGTCGGTAGACGGTAGACGCTGTATGTTACCAGCCTGGAACATATCCCTATCCGTATGTTTGACATCACCTCACCTCGATGCCGATCTTAAGGATTCCCTCAGCTTTTGAGGGCCTATCCCTAAGATTGTCCTCGCTTTTTGCTCGCCCATCTTAGGGATAGGGATACGTTCGAGGCTTGTTAGTATGCACTCATCGTCCAGTCCACGGCATCATGCCAGGGAACGGGGCGAGAGCGGCGGCTCCTCCGCAGCCCTGCGGGCCAAGCGGAGCCGTGCCGGCCATCTCCAGGGGCTCCTGCGCGGGCCTCGCGCCGCGCGCGTGGAGAGCATGCGCCCCCGCGCGCTCGGCGTGGCGCCGGGCCCCCGCAGGCCCCGCGCCCCGTGCGGACAGCCGACCGTTGGCTGGGAGCCCTTGGGTGTTGCGGGGCGCGAGGCGGCGAGCCGCGTCGCTTACCTCTGATAGGGGGCCACATGCGAACCCTACCCCCACCCCCCACGATTTCGGAGGGGGAGGGTGGGGTTCACTTCGCTCGGGAGCTCCCGAACGGAGTGAACCCCACCCTCCCCCTCCAAAATCGTGGGGGGTAGGGGTAGGGTTCGCATGTCGCTCACCTCTGAGGGCAAAGTCCACCCGCTTCTGGAAGGCCAGTATCTCGGATCTATGCCAACTAGCGTCCTCGCTTCCTAGCCACACGCGTCTATGGAGACATGTGGTGTCGTGAAGTACGTAGACACATTCGGAGTGGATACGTCCATAGACAAGACGGCCGTTGCGTCCGGCGCAGTACAAGGTCGGAGATAGGGTTCACTCGTCTACGGTATGTTTCTGTTCTGGAGCAGGTCCCACATGGTGGCCAGAGAGGGCCGGTCGCGGCTTCCTGCACCAGGCCCCGGTGGCCAGTGCAGACGGTTGCGATCGGCGTTCTCGGTGTTCGGCTGGCTCAGGGGAGATCGCTGCGCGGTCTTGGTCGCCAGGCCGCGGCGCTGCTGTTGTCTGCGGCGAGCGAGGGGAGGAAGGGAGAAGGACGAGGCCTTCTCAGAAGGCGGCGGGACTTCTCAGAAGCCCTCCGGCCTTTGAGACGTTTCCCGCGTGTTCGGAGAAGGCTCAGAACACTCATCAGAAGGCAGAGGCCTTTCGAGCCTTCTGAGAGGGCCCGCCCCCTCTCACTTCCCCCGGGGCTCGCCGCCCACCCACAGGCGCCTGCGAATCTGGCGCGGTGTCCGCCGCGAGGGGGGACGTCTGCCCTGCTGCTGGGCGCACGCGCCGCGCGTGCCTCGGAGCTGTTGAGTGCGGGCATGTCGCGCGGGGTTTATGAGGAGAGAAAATCACACAGACACAAACCATCGTCGATCCCCTGGAAGGTGTACGAAAATGCGGGAAGTGGGGGGAACTACTGACATCCATTCAACATGGACGAGATCGGGAATCCCGGACTTTGTGCCTGTCTGTTTGTGTGTCCTTGGCCCCCTTCAGTTTACAGTGCCGTTTTCAATACATGCTCCGCGTGCGGCTCATGTATAAAAAATGCAGGGCTTTGGTATGACAAACAAGGATGAGTTCGTGCATAAATCTAGTCATAAATGACTCATGTGTAAAAATATCATATTTTTGAAAATCCCATGTCTGAAAAACTGCCCTGTAGCCTGACGTGGCCCAGCTGCGTGTACGCCCTGTGTGAGGCACCTTCGCGTCTGGCTGGCCCCTCACGGGGTCGGCTAGGCGGGGCCGAGGAGCCCGCGCCCGGCCCCGGCGCAGCGCCCTGCCGCCCGAGTGTGGAGGGCCCCTCCCACGTGCGTGCACCCTTTGCAAGTGTCGGAGGTTGATATACCTCCTACCCTGACTTTTTATTTTATTTTTTCTCAGGCAGCATAGAGGACCACTTCGTGAAATATTCACCTGCGCGAGTGACCTCATCGCGACTCGGCGGCGAGAGTCATCCCCAGGCCGTCGGGTCTCCAGCTTGAGCCAGAGTGGCCTTCCTACCCTGACACGTCGATTCAGGAATCGGCCGTTTTCGGTTCGCGAGAGGGCGTCGCGGCCGCCATTTCTGCGGGCCGTTTTCACGAAAGGGAGGTTTGCTAAAGGGAGGCTTGTCCACCGCCGACAGTGCCCTGGCTCGACGGGGGTCGTCACACTCGCTCGAATCGAGAATCGGAACGCGAAACCTTATCACATAAACCTTAAACCCTGATACCGAATTCTTGACCCTTAAGTAAACCCGAAACCCGAAACCCGAAACCCAAAACCCGAAACCCGAAACGGATCGAAAGCGTGTGGTGGTCCTGCCGTGTTGCGGCGGCCAGCCCGGGGGGGAAGTGAGAGGGGCGGGCCCTCGCAGATGGCTCGGAGGTCCCCCGGCCTTTCGGAGAAGATTTGGAAACAGAAAAAAAAACCGCTCAGAAGGCCGGAGGGCGTCTGAGAAGCCCTGCCGCATGCTCAGAGGGTCTTCGGGCGACGAAATGTACACATACCCGCTGCTCCCTGGCCAGGCCCACCCCGAGCCCAGGGGCGGTGTATACGCCCTCCCGGCCAGGCCAGGAGGGCGGTGGCGTGCACGCCGCTGCTGGGCTCAGGATGGGCCTGGCCAGGGGTGCGGGGTCTCGCTGGCTCTTTCAGCGCGCCGCCGCCCGCCGGGGGCCCCGTTATCAGGGGGGGAACACACACACAGACACAAGCAGTCGTGGATTTTCGCGGGGCGTGGTGAATGGCTGGCTTCCGGAAGCAGCAAAGCGTATTAGAACCTTTCCGGCTGGTAGCTGGAGCTGTAGCAGGTTGCATGACACATCATCCGAGCAGCCTTGTGGCCCCCAATGGGGGCTGGCGAATGTCTAATTTGGTACTTTTTACGGCTCTCTCAGTGTTGTTCTCGGGGCTCCTTTGGGGCCTTCAAATCAAAATCAGTGTTGTTCTCGGGGCTGCTTTGGGAAGTGGAGGGGAAAGCGAACCTTTAGAAGATATAGAAGCTGTGGGGGATTCGGGAGTTTGTGTCTGAATATTCTTGTGTCTTTGGGCCCCCTTCGCTCACCATGGGGAGAGGTCGCTGCCGAATACCACCCCAACCCAACCCGAAGGCCCTAGGCAGCCCTCCGCAGGGTTCTTTCCGATTCCTCCGAGTCGATTTCGATTCCGATTCCGATTCGGTTCGGCTTCGGGTTCCGATCTTGGCTTCGGTTTCTCGACGGAGGCCTTGCTAGCCAGACGATTTCCGCCGATTCGACTTCTCCCGACTTGGCTGCCGATTTCCGCCGATCCGTTTCATGTCGATCGCCGATCCGATCCGATCCGAGTTATCGATTCGGTTCTGGGCTCCCCCGGCGAACCACCCCAGCCTAACCCGACGGCCCCAAGTGGCCCTCCAGTCCCAGTGGGTGGGGCGTCCCCAGACACTGAAGTGCACAGCGTGCGCCCCCCAACCAGCCTGCCATTTGGGAGTTCGGGTTGTGCTCGGGTGTTCCGGTAGGCAGTCAAATTGGGGCGTGTGGGGGGCGGCCAAGACCTCCTCGCGCCGTGGGATGTCTTTTTGTCTTTCTGGCCTC